AAGAAAAAAAAGAAAAAACTGGAATATGTTTATGAATTGGTTTTAATTGAAGATCTTAATGATGGTAGATATCATGATGAGTTTGATATTGAAGATCCAAAGAAACAAAAAGAAATCAAATCAAAATTAGAACAGCCTAATGTTAGTATTCCTGGAAAAATCAAAAGAATTCCTGTCACTTCAATATCACGATTATTTTATAATTCTTCTGGTTCTTTGTTAAACATTGAAGAATTGAAAAAAGTTTTAGGACCTAATGTTGGAATAATAGAACGTGATGATGAAGGCAACATAGTAAATGTTATAATTGGTGAAGATGAAGATGAAAACGAAGTTTTTGATAAAAAAATTCAACCAGAACCAGCGAAAACGGAAATTGTTAAAGGTAGAAAATTTATTTGATATTTATTTATTTTTAAAGTAACTATTATTTTATAGCATCATAATCATAATATATAATTAACACAAAAAAAAACATTTAGCTTTAGAAGAAGAAGCATCGAAAGTATTTAAACATGAAAAATATCAATCTGAAGGAGAAATAGAATTTGTAAAAAAAATGATAGAGAGATATGGCGAAGATTATGATGCGATGTTTAAAGATATAAAATTAAATGTATATCAACATACTAAGAAGCAATTAAAAAAGAAATGTGAAAAATATTTAAAAACAAATTCCTAATAATTAAAAGACAATAAAAGAAATCTTATTATTTAATCTCTCAATTCAGCCATTTTATCATCAATGGACACTTCATGTCTAGGATCAAATTTTTATCCTGAACGTTGTTTATGAAGTTCTGATAATTTTTCAGCGGTATTTACTCTTTTTTTGGGAGTGAAGGAAATAGTGATTATGTATAGCTCAGGGTTGGCAATAGACTGGTTCCATCGGAACCAATGAGTTTTGGTATGGTCCGTTTCCATTAATAAAATACTGATACTAATAATAATACTATATAATACTAAATATGGCCAAAATGTTATACCAATGGACCCTCAACCCCGATATAGCTATTACTTACTATATAACGTTTTAATTTTTTAATGTTTTTTTTTGTCAACCAACCACAACTTCCGCCTCTGTCTCTACCTCCACAAACAATCGCTGATCTCACACACCACAGCAACCACAAAAGTCCCTGTCCGTGTTCAAGTAAATATTTTAAGTGAAAATCTTCAACAACACCACCAAAGCGTTCAATTGCAACAACAACAACAACAACAAATATTACAACAATAACAACATATATTGAAAATATTGCAAACCTTGCCGCTTCTGCAAGTGAACCAAACTGAACGAACTCGGACGCATTTTTATACGATTTTAATTATTCTTTTCTTTTATTTGTTTTTTAATTATTTTTTAATTATTTTTACAATAAAAATTTATTTTATATATAATATATATAGTTTTACCAAATTATTTTCGTGGTCGACCTGTAAACTCGCGTCTTCGCACCTTACGTAATTGTGTTCTATAGGTATCGAACCCACTACTAATTCACAATGGCACAATTACTAATTTCCTTATTTCGGCACTATGTGCTTTAACCCTCTAGTTCGAATTCAACGTAAAAAGCAAATCTGATGCATAATTTTTTGGTCTACAAGTGGAGTAGCGGATCTATTTATATGTTTACGTGGTGATTTATTATACTAGTTGATCAATAGATCGTTTGGCCACGAAATAGCTTCATGAGAAATTATAGGATTATGAGCAGCAACTTTGTATGATTTTTCAGATCTTTGTTCATAATAATCGGGTCTTACAGGCTACTCGAATTGATTGGAAATGTTAGTAAAGGAAATATTTTTACCCAATCATGAATACAATTATATAATAACTACTTATGCGTGCTTGAGAT